CGCAATGAAGAAGCCTGCGCACTGCAGCTACAAGAGTAGCCCCCTGTCTCCCCAGCTAGAGAAAAACCTGCACAGCACCGAAGACCCAGAACAGCCAAAAATAAATGAATACATAAAAACTTTTTAAAAAGAAGAAAAAAAGCAAACTTGCTTGGGACTCTGGAAACAACAGAGAGGCAGGGTGTCTTATGTCTCTTTACCCAAAGGAGGAAGAGAACCCAGAATGAGTGGGAGTCCCTCTGACATCAGATGAGCTAAACACAGTGGCAAGAGGGAATCATCAGGAATCCCGCCAACAATAGTAGACAAAAGAAGCAATCTCCTTCCTCACTGGGCCTGAGATTCCCTACTTTCACCTAGCGATTCTGAGGTGGGAGGGTGAAACAGAAAAGAGGGATGAAGTCACAGCAAGTGCCTGGTTCTAGAAGGCTCTTTGTCTCTCCTCCCCCAAACAGAGACACCAGAGCAGCTGGGGGGTTCCAGTAGGAGTGTCTTGCCATACCTATCCTCCGCCGAAAGACACCCAGCAGCCTGACCTGGGGAAATGCTTCCACCCACTCAGGCAACAGGGTCAGCAATGTACAGAAGCCCTGCTGACTCCAGATAACCAAACAGACCAAAACAATACCACAAAGACGGAAAATTAAACTAGCATTAGAAATACAGCCCACAAAGTAGGCCGAGAGCTGTGCACAGAACATAAATAAAATGGACTATCTGCTAAAGTGAAAGATTTAAAATAGGAGTTTCCTAACATAATAGACAAAATGTCTATAGGTTTTGACAATGTATAATCACATATATCCACCATTATATTATTGTACAGAGTATTTTCACTGTCCTAAAAATCCCTTTGGCTCTACCTGTTGATGCCTTCCTCTATACCAGCGCCTTGCAACCGTTGATCTGTTTACTGTCTCCATAGTTTTGCCTTTTCCAGAATGTCATTTAAGTTGGAATCACACAGTGTGTAGCCTTTTCAGATTGACTTCTTGATTCCTCCATGTCTTTTCACGGCTTGATAACTGATTGATTTTCAGCACTGAGTAACAGTGCATTGTCTGGATATACCACAGTTTTTTAATCCATTCACCTACTGAAGGACATCTTGGTTGCTTCCAAGTTGTAGCAGTTATAAATAAATCTTCTGTAAACATCTCTGTGCAGATTTTTTTGTGTGTGGATGTATGTTTTCAGCTTCTTTGGTTAAATATCAAGGAACACAATTGCTGGATAGTATGGTCAGAGTATGTTTAGTTTTGTAAAAAACCACCAAACTGTCTGAAAGTGGCTGTAGCATTTTGCCTTTCCACTAGCAACAAATGAGAGTTTCTGTTGCTCCACATTGTCATCAGCATTGTGTGTTGTGAATTTTTTTAATTAAAAAAAATTTTTTTTGGCTGTGCCATGTGGCTTGTGTGATCTTAGTTCCCTGACCAAGGATCCAACCTGCAGCCCATGCATTAGACACCTGGAGTCTTAACTTTAACACTGGACTGCCAGGGAAGTACCCCCTGTAGTGTTGTTTTAATTAGCATTTCCCTGATGACATACAATGTGGAACATCTTTTCATATGCTCATTTGCCATCTATATATTACCTTTGGTGAGATGTCTCTTGATGGTACTTAGTCCATTTTTAAAATCCAGTTGTCTTTGTTCTGTTTTCTAAAGGAGATTGTAGACAATTGATACAGTTTCTTCCTTAAATATTTGATAGAATTCACCAGTGAACCCATCTGAACCTGGTGCTTTCTATTTTGGAAAGTTTTTAATTATTTATTCAATTTCTTTCATAGATACAGAATAGACATAGGCTTGTTCCAATTGTCTACTTTTTGTGTGAGTTTTGGCAATTGTGTCTTTCAAGAAATTGGGCCATTTAATCTAGGTTGTCAAATTTGTGGGCATAGATTTGTTCCTGGTATTCTTTTATTAATCTTTTTAATGTCCATGGTATCTGCAGTGATGGCCCCTCTTTTATTAGTAATTATAGCCTTTGTATTTTTTTCTTAGTTAGCCTAACTAGAGCCTTATCAATTTTCTTTATCTTTTCAGATAACCAGTTTTGGTTTCATTGGTTTTGTCTATTTATTTCCTGTTTTCAGTTTCATTGATTTCTACTCTAATTTCATTATTTCTTTTCATCTGCTTACTTTGAATTTAATATACTCTTAATTTTTTTTTAATTTTATGGTAATATAGTTGATTTACAATGTATTAATTTCTGCTGTACAGCAAAGTTATTCAGTTATACATATATATTCTTTTTCATATTCTTTTCCATTATGGTTTATCATTGGATACTGAGTATAGCTCCCTGTGCTATACAGTAGGATCTTATTGTTTATTACTCTTCTTTTTCTAGTTTCCTAAGGAACAAGCTCAGATGATTGATTTTAGAGCTTTCACATTCAGTGTTGTAAATCTTCCTCTAAGCACTGTTTTGGGGGCATACCATAAATTTTGATAAGTTGTATTTTCACTTTCATCTAGTTAAAAAATATTTTAAAATTTCTCCTGAGATTTCTTCTTTGACCCATATGTTATTTAGAAGCATGTTGTTTAATCTCCTAGTATTTTGGGACTTTCAAGTAATCTTTTCTGTTATTGATTTCTACTTTATTTTCATTGTGGTCTGAGAGCAGACAGTGTTTGATTTCTGTTCTTTTAAAATTATTAAGGTCTTCTTTATGGCCCAGAATGTGGTCTGTCTTGGTGAGTATTTATAGTGTTTTTTTAAAATTAAATTGGAGGCTAATTACTTTACAATATTGTGGTGGTTTTTGCCATACATCTACATGAATCAGCCATGGATGTACATGTGTTCCCACCATCCTGAATCCCCCTCCCTCCTCCCTGCCCACCCCATCCCTCTGGAATGTCCCAGACCACCAGCTTTGGGTACCCTGCTTCATGCATAGAATTTGCACTGGTCATCTATCTTACATACAGTAATATACATGTTTTGTTTCAATGTTATTCTCAAAGTACATCTCTTTGTATAGACGGGCTTCCCAGGTGGTGCTCGTGGTAAAGAACCCACCTGCCAGTACAGGAGACATGAGAGATGTGGGTTTGATCCCTGGGTAGAGAAGATTTCCCTGGAGGATGGCATGGCAACCAACTCCAGTATTCTTGCCTGGAGAATCCTATGGACAGAGGAACTTGGTGGGCTACAGTCCACAGGGTCACAAAGATTCCGACACAGTTGAAGCAACTTGGCACTCATGCACACAACGCTCTTTGTATAGAACACTCGACCCCAAAAGAGCAGAATGCACTGTTTTACTCAAGCACCCAAGAACACTTAGCAGGATAGACCATAGGCATGTCCATATAACAGACCTCAGCAACTTTAAAAAATTTGAAATTAAAGTTTATTTTCTGAGTGCAGTGGAAATACACTATAAAGCAGGAACAGAAAGACAACATGACAGTCTCTAAATACTTGAAAATTATGCAGCACACTTCTAAATAATCTGTGGATCAATGAGAAAGTCTCAAAGGAAATTTTTAAAATATATATAGAACTGAGTGAAAATTGAAATATAAAATACAGACAAATGTAACATGCAGCTAAAGCAGTGCTGAGAGAGAAATTTATAACATTAAATGCTTAGATTTGAAATTAAGAAAAGTCTCAAGGGAATGATTGAAATTTTTACATCAAGGAACTAGAAAAAAAGAATAAAATAAACCCAAAACAAGCAGAAGGAAGGAAACAATCAAGAGCTGAAATCAATGGAATTTAAATAGGAAAACTATAGAGAAAATTAAGTGAAATAAAGTCTGTTTTTTTGAAAAAAGTTGATAAACCTCTAACAAGATTGATAAAAATAAAAAGAGATAAGACACAAATTGTCAATACCAGAAATGAAATATGGGATATCACTATATATCCTGCAGTCATTAAAAATACAATAAGGGAATACTATGAGCAACTTTATTCACATATTTGATGACTTAGAAGAAATGGATCAATTCCTCAAAAACAACAAAGTACTAAAACTCACTCAATAGAAGATGTATTGTCTGACTATCTCTATAATCATTAAGGAAATTGAATTCATGATTTAAAAACCTCCTGAAAAAAGAAATCTCCAGGCCTAGATACCTTCACTGTATAATTCTACCAAATGTTTAAAAAATTTTAACAATTTCATACAATTTTTTCAAAAAAATAGAAGAGGAAGGAACATTTCAAACTTGTTTTTGAGACTAGTATTAACCTGATACAAAAACCAGACAAAGACATACAAAAATATTATGAACATAATTTTGATCTTGTGCCTGCACTAAGTTCCTCAGTTGTGTCTGACTTTGCGACCCCATGGACTGTAGCCTGCCAGATTCCTCTGTCCATGGAATTTTCCAGGAAAGAACACTGGAGTGGGTTGTCATTTCCTCCTCCAGGGAATCTTCCCAACCCAGGGGTCAAACCTGCATCTCCTGCATTGGCAGGCTGATTCTTTACCACTGCAGATCTTGTAGCCTCCCTAAAATGGTCTTAGGGCTAGGATAACCAACACATTTAGTTTTCTTAGGACTTTCCTGGTTTAAGCACTGAAAAGTCCTAGCAAAACCAGCATCACTTGCTCAAGACCTACCTGGTTTTAAAACTGAATGTGCCACATGCAAGGAACTTCATCAGCCCTGGGCCAACTGCATTGGTTGTTCTCAATAGTCATGGACTTTTTGGGTCTCTGGACAACACTTTAAGAACTTCCGTGTCAGGCCATACTCACACAGAAGAAATTCTCAGTTTAGTATTGTTAACTCACCACCACATAGGAGTTGAAGATCTTCACATGGTAATTAGTTAGAAATTCTCCTACCCCATGCCAGTTGTTTGCTTGACTATCAGACATGGTTCATTCTACATTCTCCTCCTCACCTTGGATTCCTCAAATAAGATGTCATTGAAAGTGCTTTGTAATAAAAAAAAAAGTCACTAGAATGTGAAGGTGTACCATTGTTTTTTGGTGATTATCTTTTCAGGTCAAGTTAATGGAGTGCAAGTGACCATCCCAGACAGTTTTGTGAATGTGACTGTTGGATCTGATGTCACTCTCATCTGTACCTACACCACCACTGTGACCTCACTGAACAAGCTCTCCATTCAGTGGACATTCTTCCATAAGGAGGAGTCACAACCAGTTTCTGTAAGAACTTTTCCCCCATGAACTATTCCCCTTCAGTAGTTCTGACATAAACTGTTGGGGTCAGTGTGTGAAGAAGGAATGGTAAGCCAGTGGCAACAGGAGCAGAGCCTCAGATACTAGAAGTTTGGAGATAGCTGTTTAGGGAAGATCATCATCTAAGTGACAGCCTTTGTCCTCTCCTCATATTTAGTTATGGCCTGTGACCTCCATTCTGTGTAGGTCAGCATCAAGTATATCATGTATTCTAGAGTAGGCAGGAAGGGTCTTTCTTAGGTGAAATGAGCAGTAGTTCTGAAAGGGCTTCCCCTCTCCCTGTTATTTTCAGAAAACTCTAGTTCAAATATGTGTCCTAATTGATCCGCAGATCTCTGTGAAACTTAATATCTGGACACTGCTTGTCAAGTGAGCTAGCTCATTGTACCAGACTGAGTCCTAATGGAATGAGACTCCCTACATGGGTGGGTAAGGGCAAAGTAGTGATGAACCCTGGGGAATCAGAGGCAGCTGGAGGCTAGAGGATAAGGGACTGGAAGGGAGGCTAGGGTCTGGGTAAGAGGTAACTGGGGGAGGGTGGATGAAAGTCAGAGGAGGATGATTCTACTTGCAAATTGCCTATTCCTAGATTTTTTTCATCTTGCCTTAAGGGTAATTCCTTCTTTAAATCAGTCCAAAGACTAAAATGAATATACTCAAAAGTGTGTGGATTATGTGTGTGTGTTGGGGGAGGGGGCATATGTGTGTACATTTATGCATGTGAGTGTGCAAGCATGTATGCCAATACATATCCTTTGAGGGGGAAAATATCTGTAGCTTTCATCAGATTTTCAAAAGGATGTATGATCCAAAACAAGGAGTTCAGAGAAGAGACAAATCAGTGTGGTTTGGATATAGTTGAGTTGGGCCTTGAAGGAAAGCAAGGGTGATGATGATAGAAGATAGGGAGAGAGGCAAGTTGAGTGGGCTGGAGGAGGCCCAAGGGTGGAGGTGGAGAAGAAGGAGCGCCAGTGTCTCTTCAGCCATCACTGAGCTTTCGGAGGTGCTGACTCCTCTTTGTACCAAAGGTCTTGAACATTTGTTCAGAAGGAAGCATCGTTCAAGAGGAGACTCTATCAGTGCCGCCCTCTAGTCAAAGTTCAACAGTTTTGTTCAGCACTGGTTACCTTAGAGGGGCTTCCCTGGTGGCTCAGATGGTAAAGAGTCTGCCTGCAATACAGGAGACCTGGGTTTGATCCCTGGGTCGAGAAGATCCCTTGGAGAAGGGAATGGCAACACACTCCAGTATTCTTGCCTGGAGAATTCTATGGACAGAGGAGCCTGGTGGGCTCCAGCCCATGGGGTCACACAAGTATTTGAATCACTCTGTGCCTCTCTTCAAACTATGGTAGAGCAGTAATATTCTTCTACATGGGCAGTATACCTTGTAGCATTCAGTCCTCAGATCCACCCACTTCTGCTCAAACACAGCACAGACCATGCCTCAATATTGAGAAAAAGGCAGTCAGTCAGTGTTTAAAACTGGTGCATGCAAGAGATGCTTGGGGAAGATGTAGTTGGACTTCTCAGGCAGTAACACCTGTACTGTTGGACCTCCTCATTATTTGGAGTCTCTAGGCTAGTGGCACGAGATTTTCGAAGTGGAATAGGAGGGTCAGTGTTTGGTAACAATTGAGATCAGCACAAGCCTCTGGCAGAGGTGAGACAGCCTTTTTTTTGGCTGTGATGAGTCTTCGTTGTATGGGCCTTTTCCCTAGTTGCAATGAGCAGGGGCTACTCTTCGTTGCAATATGCAGGCTTCTCTTATTGCAGAGTGTAGGCTCTAGGGTGTGAGGGCTTCAGTAGCCGTAGCACGTGGGATCCATAGTTGCAGCTCCTGGGCTCTAGAGTACAGGCTCAATAACTGTGATGCACAGGCATAGTTGCTCCACAGCATGTGGGATCTTCCCAGATCAGGGATCCAACCCATGTCTCTTGCATTGGCAGGAAGATTCTTTACCACTGAGCCACCAGGGAAGCCTTGAGACAGTCTTGAGTTTGCTTTCTCATGCCCATGTCTGGAATTCCTTTCATCTTCCTCTGAAAGTTTCAGGCTCTATTGCTGCCTTGATTAGGGCAGTGGTCAACTCTTGCAATAAGCTCATCTTCTCCTCCCCCAAAATCATTGTGTTAAAGGAGCAGTTGACTCCAAGACCTAGTACTTCTCAGTACCCAGGGGAGAATATTATCTCCTAGGGACTACCCCTTCCATAGGGTTCCTTTGTGAATAGAGGCTATGGAGGTATTCCATAAGTCTTCTGACCAGGTGTCAGGATATTCATTTGTTGTTTGTTGTTGTTCAGTCACTAAGTTGTGTCCAACTCTTTGTGACCCCATGGACTGCAGCATGCCAGGCTTCCCTGTCCTTTACTACCCCCCACAGTTTGCTCAAACTCATGTCCATTGAGTCGGTGATACCATCCAACCATCTTGTCCTCTGTCTTCCCCTTCTCCTCCTGCCCTCATTCTTTCCCAGCATCAGTGTCTTTTCCAGTGAGTTGACTCTTCACATCAGGTGGCCAAAGGATATTCATTAGCATGGTCTTTCTTTTAGAGAAGCCCTCCTTTCAGAAGACATGGACAGATTCAGATAGTCAGTTCCTCAGCAAGAGTCACAGCTGAAGACTCTAGACCCCAGAACAGGCAGGCTAGCTTGGAAGTTTTGGTTCCCTTCTTATGAATGGCTGCCTCTTCATTCAGCTAGTCACTGGAAAAATTATTAATACAGGGACCTCACCTGCCCTTGAACAGGACAGGCATGGAACCTACTTAGCATGAGTCTCTCAAACAACATATACTCATCTAGGATAGCCACAGTGGAAGAAACCCTGCGCCATCTTCATCTCTCTAACACCCATATAATGTGAACAACTTCTTTCTAGAACCTAGTATCATTGGACTCCATGGCTGCTTAGATTCTTCTAGCTTGGCCTCTACAGATAGTATTATATCCAACGCTTTTCAAATATTGGTGAAGTGAGGGTGCTTCATCTCCTTAGGAGCACATTTGAAAATGAACAAACTGTTGGTCTAATTGTTATAAATGGGAGTCACTACTGATGCTAGTGGATGGTGTCTAGAGGGGCTTAATGTCTTGTGATATGTAGGTGAGACCCACACAGGAAAGAATCGTCTGCCCCAAATGCCAGTGTGGCTCCCATTGAGAAATACTCCAGCTTCTTCCCTTCCCAGCACCCCTCCCAATCAAATTTTTTCTTTTCAGTGTCCCATTTCTTCAGATGTCTATTCTTACTAAATCTGATAAATTAATGTAATGCTAAGGTGTTAAGGACTAGTGACCATTTACTTTGTTCTCTCTCACAAAAACCGTTTAAGCAGAAACCTTCCTTGACTTACAGAAACAGTTAAACTGGTGGGTGTCTCAGGCACATGGCAGGCTGGGAAGGGAGTGGTTTGGAACAGGCAAGCCTTCCTTTTGGTGTTATATTCCTTCCATGCACAATCCCAGCCTCCTTAAATAGTCTAGAGAAAATTCTAGGCTTGAGACCATCATTACTCTACATTCCTCTTCTCCCATAGTTAGTGCCTTTATGAGCAGAGCAGGAAAGGAAGAAGCTTGAAGGGAAAGAATGAGTGGTTTGCTGTGGACTTGCACATTTCCAAAAGGAACCCACAAAAGCAGCTCTGGAGGCTAAAGGCATTTATTAGCTCAGACACAGACTCAAACAGAAAGCAGACTGAATTCCTTCAACCCTTCTTGTTCATATTCCAGCGCTAGTTAGAGAGCAGTATCACAAAGCTGAGGGGAAAAATCTTTTTGGACAAATCTGGCTCCCAGCTGCACAGCCTTATGTGAATAGGAGCTTGGCACAGGAGGAAGAGAAAGGCTGTTATTGCAGCTGGCATCCATTGAAGGCATCATGTGGTGAACCCACTTGGCATGGGAAACATCATGCCAATGAATAGCAGCAATTGGAAGAAGAAGGCTTGGGCTGGAGAAGGTGATGGAATGGCCCCAAGAGGGTAGGGTGGCTTGGAAGTCATCTTCTTGGTCCAAGGCAGGCATGTGAGTGCCATGTTCATGGATTTAAGGGACTTGGGAGGTCTGGATTCTAGGTCTGACTACCAAGTGTGTGACCTTGGGATGATCACTTCCTCTTATGGGGCCTCTGTGTGTCCTTTCCTGTAGTAGAAGAGGATGAATCAGAGGTTGCAGACTGGCAACCTCTGGGCTCTATTTGGCCAGTAAATGCATGTTGGTTGGCTAGCCCAGTATTTCGTTTATTTGCTCAGTTTGAAAGCCTTGTTTGTTTTGGCTCTGCAGTTCACCACAGTCCTTACTATCCTCCATGATCTTACCACTACCCACCAGCCCCTCCCAGCTAGTTCCCATATTTCCAGTATCCAGCTGGTTCCTGAAGGCTCTGCTGCCTTAGCAACCATGTGCTGAGTTATCTCTTTGGGAGTCTTATAATTAATGTGCTGTTATGTCTCCATAATTAGCCTCTAACATCACCATGGGGCAGGCAGAGAGGACCCTGGGGGGAAAGTAGGGCATTCTCCCGTGAACACAGCCACAAAAGGCAAGTGGCCAAAAAATGAACAAGCGCCACTTAAAGGAATACATGGATGGATTTTCTCAGGGCAGACTTGCCACCCCCCATCATCACCCCCAAAGAATGTGGCCTGTTGAACAGCCGTGGCTTTTCCTGGACCTCAATTTGTTTGATCTCTAAATTGACAATATACTTTCCTTGAAAAGTGTACAAGCCTCACAGGATCATGAGCCAGGCTTTGGCCATCATTCAGCTTTGATTTTTAAAAGAATTATTCTTTTATGGAAAATGGAACCAAGTTGCAGTTCCTTCCTGTGTGATTAGATAAGTAGTTTCAGGAATCATTTCATTTTCTTTCTTCACAAGGACGATATGACAGTGTGGACTTCCCCTAACAGAAAGCCCCTCCACCTATGTGTCTGGCCACTGGCTAGCCTTGGGGACTTTCCTTCTCACACAGCACCCTGAGGCCAGGGCCTTTCCCTTTTAGGTGTCCATTGTTACACCTCTTTACCTCTGCTTCCATTCCAGACATCTTCAGTATTATTTGTGGGACAACAGAATTTATTAGGCTCACAGTGTGAGGAGCTAGGATCGAAGGGTTGGTGAAGGTCCTTTTTTCAGGGAAGTTACAAGTCTAGGGCCTCATGACTTATTTGCTTATTGATACATGGCCAACCATGAAACTTTTAGTGTGGCTTCTTTTCATGTCCTAGTCTTGACCTAAAACACACTCTCTTGGCCCCCTATTCTTTGTAGAAATAAAGTCTTTTCCCCTAGATCTTCTGGGACTTGCTGCAGGCTGTAGGCAGGACTGATGTTTCTCATTGTGATGTCATCAAGCCTCAATTTAAAACAGGCTGACCAACCCCCCAGTCTTCCTGGGAGCAGGAGATGTGGCCAGATACCTAAGCTGCAAAGGGCTTCCTTGATAGACCACAGGCTGCATTCCAGGTAAGAGTCTACAGGGTCACAAATTGTTAATTAGAAAGTAAATAAGGCCAGGCTGGCTAGTGAAATGGAAAGCCGGATATCTTGGATGTCAACTCACTTAAAGGAAATAGACCTTTGACAAGTTGAACTTCCTCCTTCCCCACTTGAATACCTTAGGTTACACTGGCTTACCAGTTTGTAAGTCAAACAAGACCCCTCTGGAGCAAGAGTTTATGATTTCAGTAGGTATGAATGGACGAATTGACTTATAAATGGCTCTTTCAGGGCACGAAAGAAAGCTAGTTGATGTTAGAGGACCGCAGGAGAGAGGCAAGTTGTTTTCTCCTTAAAGATACTCTTTTCTTTGAATTTTCCATCAGACTCTCCCTTTCTGCTTTAGTTTAAAAACTTCCTGGCTGTTTCCCTGAAAGAGAATACATTTGAATTTATGTAGACAATATCTTTTGGTTTTCTGATTGCCTTCCCTGTTTCATTAGCCTGTTAATGTAAAGAATGCTGGACAAGGAAATTGAAGAACTGGGTTCTAGACCCAACTCAGCTCTTAACTTTGTGTGTCTTTTTTAAAACCTCTCTAGACTTCAATCTCTTCTATAAAGCGAGAAGAGTGAATTAAATGAACCATAAGTCTCTTCTAGTAGATTTTATTAAATATCAATTGCCAGTGGGCTAGGGCAATCCCAGTTTATTGATAATGCAAAACAATCACTGGAGTCACAGACATTTATATTAAACTAACAAAGTGTGTACATAGACTGCGTATTATGAAGGGACCTCGGGATCACCTAATCCAGTGATTCCTAAGCTTTAGTCTATTCATGTCTCATCTTCATGATTTTTTGTCATATTTGTGTAGTACCAGCACCAGTAATTGTTTAATGTTTTCTATATTGACATTTTGGGGGGCCACACTGTGAGGTTTGTGAGATCTTAGTTCCCTGACCAGGGATTGAACCTGGGCCACTCAGCAGTTAAAAGTACTGAGTTCTAACCACTGGACTGCCAAAGAATTCCCTGACTTGGTTTTTAAAAGTCTTAAAAGCATTTGCCTTAGTTTCACTGTAAATAATAATATCCATGAGTTCACAGATTTGATGTGTTAGATTTGTCTCTAATATACATTAGATTTTTAAGTTTTCAATTATTTACAACCTAAAATCAACTTATGTGCCTATACTAGGAGAATACATATCATACTTCAGAGAACACTGCTCTGGTTCCTTGTTCAGATATGGAAACTAAAGGTTGAAGAGATTAAATGACTTTTTTTGTTACTGCAAAGCAGGTTGCCATGGAGACATGACCAGCAGCTACCTCTCCCATGTTATAATCAGAGGCCCAGTGTGGCTAAAACCGAGGTCTTCTTATTCCTAGACCAGGCCTTTTTACATCACACTCTGCTGCTCCCATGGTTACCATTATGATTTAATATCCATGTTCTATAATACAGATGGGACTAGAATCAAGATATTTCTTAAATCTAGTTAATTAAAATAATAATATATAAATCTTTATGACTTTGGGTGGGTCATTAGTCTGTACTTGAGTGCCTGCCTTTATCTGAAAGCATTAATAATTCCATTTCTTCCTCCTGCCATATGAGAAGAAAGGTAATAGCTACTGTTGACCAAGCACTTCCTAGGCCCTTGACTCAGTGACTTTGCTTCATCCTTATACCACCACTGTGAGGGGATGGGGCCACATGGTTTCTCAGGAGCCTTTCTGCTCTGAAATGTTATTCTTATAACAAACAGAATGAACTCAGTTTTGCTTATCCAAAAGAATATGTGTGTTCAAAAGGAGCATGAATATTCTTTTAGAGGAATCAGATATTCTAGATAAGCCCACTGGGTAAACTCAAGGCAAAGAAAGTTTATAAAGTAGAATAAAATCAGACACTTGTGTCCTAAACAATGAGTTTCTTTCAGGTAGACTCATCGGGGAGTATCTTGATCTACTGGCCTAAGCTTAGGAGTTGAATCTTGTCAGCTCTGGCTGCCTACTGTCTACAAGACAGGCATACCTTTGTGCTCTGATGATATCATAGAGCTGCTTTGAGCACAAATGAGGCCACAACTGTGTACAGCCTTGAGAGACCTACATTGTCCCACTGAGCTGAGAAATCTTTGCCACAGGGGTCTTACCAGGGGTGGGAGGGGTGTGGGGATTCTAGTTATCATCCAAGAAGGAAACATTGGATAGAGAGAACTTCCAAGTAGTTTATCCTAGCCTCAGACATTGTCCGGTTCTCATTTATGTCATTTTCTCTCCTAGATTTACTATTCTGAAGGTGGACAAGCTACAGCCATAGGAAAATTTAAAGATCGCATTGTAGGGTCCAACACTTCAGGTAACGCATCCATCACCATCTCGCATATGCAGCCAGAAGACAGTGGCATCTACGTCTGTGATGTCAACAACCCCCCTGACTTTTTCGGCAAAAATCAAGGCACCATCAGTGTCAGCGTGTTAGGTATGGACATTTTATTTTCTGCTTTTTCTCTTCTTGTTTTCAATTTAGGACATTGAATGAGCCAAGGCAGTGAGTTGTGGTGCCAATTAAGTCCCAAGGGTGAATATCCTCCCTACTTCTTTTATTACCAGGAAAATAGAGACACACCACCAATCCAACCCATAGAATAACACTGAAAAATCACTCACAAAACATGTTGAAACAGTTGTCAAACCAAATGGGGCTGCCACCATGACAGATAGCAATAGATGACCAAACCTCTTGGGTCCCTATCTCTGAAGGATGCAGTGAGAACAGACAGGACAACCCACAGTCTCACCAAATGATCACTAGCAACTGTTTCAGTGAGAACCTCCAATTGAAGCCAGTCCTACTTGGGGGAGACAACTGTCAACTTTTGACCTCTCCTAAGCCAGCCACAATTCCCATTGTTAAATTAGTCTTTTAAATAAAGGCAGAAAGGTCCTTTTCTAAAATATTAATGCTACTTGGAAAAAAGACCAGAGTTGATTCATTTACTTATACACAAATATTCATTCTGTGACATGGAGCAAGTCATATCTGTTCTTCAAGTGAATTTGGAGTGGTTCATTTATACGGTGTTTATTAAGTGCCTGCTTCGGGTCAGGAGCCATGATAGAGGCATGGTTTCTGCTCTTGGCAAAGTTCACAATATTGGTGATTTTTAGGGCTCCTTCCAATCTCTGTCTGAGTTTTGCCCCTGTCTGTATTGTTTAGCAAGTCCTATCTGCAGGCCTTCACATGTATGGACGGGAGGGAGGCAAGGGCTGTCAACCTTCACCCATTAACAAGTTGAGCTAAGGGCTCTCCCACTTCTATGTAACCTCAAGTGGAACTGGTCTAACCATGGCTGCTCTTGAGCTGTGTACACCCATCCCGGGAAAAAAAGGAACTAGATCAGACAATAATTGAGTAGCTTGGAAAAGCCTCAATTGGTAACAAGGTGCACACGGAGGAGGACTGTCCAGTATTGTCTGAGCTTGTTGCCCAAGTGATGCCAACAAAGAACCAACTCTTTACTGTGAGGCTTGCTACTGCATCTACTCGCCTGGAAAAGAGGAAAAGGTAATCAAGAGCTGATTTCTAGGAGCAAGGTAACTCCATCGTGTTCTTATTTTTGCTGCATCCTGTGCTAGGCTTTGGGGGTACAGGGGACAATAAGACACATATCCATAAACCCTTTCCTGGGAGAGTTGATGTTCTGGGTTGGAAGACTAGCCATATACACGGGAGCTAAATGATGTATGCACTGGCCTCAGTGCTAGTCAGTTCACCTTTCTCTGGCCATTTTGAGATGGGGTTGTAATTTCTGCCCTGTCATATTATTATGAGAATAAAATGATATATTGGAGATTCAGTGTTCAAAGAAGTTAAGGGATTCAGTTCAGTCACTCAGTCGTGTCCAACTCTTTGCGACCCCATGAATCACAGCATGCCAGGCCTCCCTGTCCATCACCAACTCCCGGAGTTTATTCAAACTCATGCCCATCGAGTCGGTGATGCCATCCCGCCATCTCATTCTCTGTTGTCCCCTTCTCCTCCTGCCCCCAATCCCTCCCAGCATCAAGGTCTATTCCAATGAGTCAACTCTTCGCATGAGGTGGCCAAAGTACTGGAGTTTCAGCTTCAGCATCAGTCCTTCCAATGAACACACAGGACTGTTTAAGGGATTAGTCCTCTACTATTTTTGTTACTCCCTAGCTCTGGGTTGTCCTTCTGACCAGAAACAACCTAAAGAAGCCAAGCCTCTTTTTATCTGAGCTTGGAATTAGCCCTGAGGTAAAGTTAGACAGGGTGGTTAATATTCTTAAAGTTTAGAGAGCTTGTTGCCCAAGTGATGCCAACAAAGAACCAACTTCCGTAAGAAGCTGAGGGTCATTTCCCCTCTAAGTTTTTCTTTCCCAAGAGTCATGACTTTTCCTTAAGCCTCCAGTATCCAGGCAAGGTAAGAGATGAAAGACTCTGGATTTCTTTGTTTGGGAATTCTCAAAATCCCACTTTAATTAATTAGGCTAAGAACAAAGATGTTCTACAAATTTATGCTTTCTGGAAATTTTGAGACTGATAATTTTCTCTAAAAATTGCAGAGGCTGTTGGCAGTTCTCAAATTCCATTGCACATGAGTGCCTGTTCTGTCTGCCCTGACTGAGGGGTGGGGCATGGTGGGGGCAAGCATGTGCATGCTAAGTCACTTCAGTCGTGTCCAATTCTTTGTGACCCTATGGCCTGTAACTCACCAGGCTCCTCTGTCCATGGGATTCTCCAGACAAGAATACTGGAGTGGGTTACGCTGCCCTCCTCCAGGGGATCTTCCCAAGCCAGGGATCGAACCCACGACTCTTAATGTCTCCTGCATTAGCAGGCATGTTCTTTATCACTAGTGCCACCTGGGAAGCCCAGGCAAGCATGTAAGGGAGACCAAGAGAGAGATGTATTGACATTTCCTTAAATATTGCTCTTCCTAGCAATGCATCTTTCAGAAACTTTTGTAACCCAGTGGTAGACACAAACGCCATGCACTCACTCATTCATGCATATATTCATTTGGCACACCCTGAACAGATGTTCAGTCACTGTGGTAGGCAGTGGAGATGGAAAGATGTAAAAGATAGGCTCCCAGCCCTCCTAAAGTTCTAAGTATGTAGTGGGGGAGGCAGATGTATCACATAAGCTTATAGTGGAGGGAGGAGAGGTGAGCTGGGAGATCACAGGGGGAACTGGAGAAGACTTCCTGGAGAAAGTGACTTCTGCAGTGAATGTTGAAGGATATGTAAGAGCATGTCAGGCAGAAGAGGGGCTGAGGTGGCAGGGTGTAGTTTAGGTGAAGGAAGCAGCAATGCACAAAGGACCAGGTGGTTTGCATGATCATTCATCTGAAAGACTTCCATTAGGTATGACAGCCTTGGAAAATGAATCTCTGAAAAATACCCAGAAGAAATTTGAATAATTATTTTGTATGCATTTGGAATGAACATCATCTTCCTTCTGCAACTTGGCACGTAAAAAGAAAATGATGAATTTAGGAAGGTTTGAGAACACTGAAACATTTTCATTTATTTTCTGAGGTGAGCCTCTTCTTCCCACCACAATTCTATTGAAAGCAATAAAGCTAAATGGTAGATCAGTGGCTTTGCCAGTAAAAATCCAAGTTCTGTTGGGGACTATAACTGGATGAAATGTCAATTCAATCCTGAATCAGTAGTTTTAGAAAGTGTATGGGTTTGGGATTTGGTTCAAAGTGATTCACTGAGCGTTTGGTTAATAAAAACGAAAGGAGAAAAATGTGTTCAGAAAAATATCTGGATTTGACTCTGGGCTCAAGAAATGAATGCAAGTCATTCCATGTTTTGGTCCATAATTAGTTCAAGTCCTGGGGTCTGGCTTTGTGATGAAACACCCCCATTAAATTTTCTGTTCAAATTATTCCGTTCCACTGTAAAAGCTATAAAATTCACCATGCTTTTTAAAAGGCAGTATCTTTAAAAAAAAAGGCAGTATCTAAATCTAGTGATAGTTGGATTTCTGGTTAAATAGCCTAGTTTATTTAGGGTAGGCAAATCCAAAGAGTTGTCTGCAGCTGAGGGATCAATACCATGAAAGAGAGAGTAAAGAGCTAAACAGAAAAATACTCCTTTTAATTAAAAGATACCTGTTCAAAAGAAGGGATTGTACAATAGGCAATTGGTTTAAGAAGATATGGTACATATATACAATGGAATATTACTGAGCCATAAAAAGAGTGAAATACTGCTGGATCCAGCAACGTGGATGGACCTAGAGGATATTATGCTTAGTGAAATAAGTCCAACAGAGAAAGACAAATACTGTATCTCACTTATATGTGGAATCTGAAAAATAGTACAAATGAATATATATGCAAAACAGACTCACAGACATAGAAAACAAACTGATGGCTATCAAAGGGAAGAGTGAAGGGGGAGGGACAGATTAGGAGTATGGGATTAACAGCTTCAAAATACTATATATAAAATAGATATGCAATAAGGATATACTGTATAACACAGAGGGAATTTATACCCATTGGAGAAGGAAATGGCAACCCACTCCAGTACCCTTGCCTAGAAAATTCCATGGACTGAGTAGGCTAGAGTCCATGGGGTTGCAAAGAGTTGTACATGACTGAGCGACTTCACAGGATCTTGTAATAACCTATAATGGAATAAAAATCTGCAAAAATACTGAATTACTATATTGTGTACCCAAAACTATAACACAATATTGCATATCAAGTATACTATAACTTTAAAAAAGAGGGGATGGTGAAATTTTCAAACAGCTATAGCTGTATCTGTTTTTCTGCTCATATGTATAGTGGGTTAGTGTCCGAGACTGGAAGGTTGTCAGTTGCAATGTCAGAAATGTGACAGCAGTGTTTACTCCTGCCTGTGGGCAACAGCAATTCCATGTGTAAGATACTATATACATGATTTTATTTGTATAAACACAATATATTTGGATTAGCTGGAGGTCAGATAATTTCTTGTGCACATTTTACAGATGAATTAACTGAGGCTTGGCTATGTTAGGTTACTTGCCTAAATACATCTGGTGTAAAGCTGCAGACCCAGGGTTCAGTGTGGACTCAGATCTGTGCTCTTAACTGCTGCCTCCCAAGTAAGAGTCAGAGAGCTGGGTAGTCCAGAGCATTTACAGCCTAAGCCTAAGGGAGAGAATCTATGCCTTTGGAGTGTCTTATATCTAAATTAATATAAGGCAGGTGAATGGGAAAATATTGATTCAGATCCTTATCTGCATGTCAGACTGAGGTTAGAATAAGCTGTGAGCAGTAAGACGAGTGGCAAGAATCAGATTTTCAGCTTCCCACAGGACTTATCCATAAGCATAGAAACTCAGCATATCCCAAACTGACCTCATCTTTGCCCCTTCCTCCTCCTCACTCCTTCCCCAAACACCTGTTCCTCTCCTTGACTTCTTTATCTCAGGGGGTGGCAAGATGGTGTACCCAGCTGTCCAAATCAGAAACTTGGGAGTCATCACTGAGCCCACCCTCTTCCTCATGCCACATATCCAAGCCCTCTGGACTTCTTAATACCTCTTGACTCTGTTTCCTCCCCTTCCTTGCCTCATGTACTCCCGGAGTCAGAACAGTTCAGTTAGAATGATCATTGTGCTGCCCCACACCTACTTAAATTCCTTCTGTGAACCTGCTGCTCTCAGGATAAAAAACGTGAAACACAAAGCCCCTGAAGCTCTAGTCTCCATTGCTCTCTAGCCTAATCTCTTACCACTCCCCCCACCTCATTTCAAAACTGTGTAAGAGGCACTTTTGAATTTCTGGTGCCTAGTTCAGTGTTGGGCATACAGGAGGCACTCAAGTAAATGCTAGTGGCACGAAGGATGAAACAAGATTTCAGTGCCTTGTGGCACACCCCTCCCCCACAATGGGTTTCCCCTCCCACTGAGGGACACGGGCAAATTCAAACCTTCCATTGTGTGTCACCACCAGGAGAATTAATGCCAAAAAATAACTCACAAAGGAAAAGAACAATATGGCATTAATGAGACAATTTTGGGGGGGAAAAAGTAGTTATCTCAGTGTTTAATGTTCTCTTTTCCTTTAAAACCATGCTTCCAAAATATAACCTCTGTTCCTAGTTTAATGTTTGCTTACATTTAACTGTTTTAATAATGGCACATTTTAAGACACAATGAGGAAATTCATGGTTATGAATCTGAGGAAGAGTCAGATGGAAGAGATGCTGCTAGACTACTGATGGCCCAGTGACGAGAGAGGTCTTTGCACCTGAAGTGCTCTACTGCCATCTGGTGGTACAACTAGAAAACTGTCAAAACAAGTTTTTTTAAGATTAAAAAAAAAAGTGTACATAGTCTCCAAAATGAGAGTGAGGAAGTGGTACAGACTGCAATTCATCATGCCTGATTTCTTACTCTTTGTCATTGTCTTACAGTCAAACCTTCTAAGCCCTTCTGCAGCATCCAAGGAATGGCAGAAACTGGCCATCCTATATCTCTTACTTGCCTTTCGGTGCTTGGAACACCTTCCCCTGTGTACTACTGGTATAAACTTGAAGGAAGAAACATCGTTCCAGTGAAAGGAAACTTCAGTAAGTATATATCTTTGCTGCACCTGGCAAGGCCTGGTGTGTGGGCTTGGTTGACAGCATGTATATGTGACTGGCTGCTCCTCCTTAGAGCTCAGTCCTCTGTTTTTTTGGGAGGGAAATGTACAAAGAATGTCAGCCTGTCATCAAAATGATTGTCCTCTGGTCTTCTCCCCAGCTTCTAGAAGTCAAGACCATTTTTGGCTTGGAGGTAGCGGTATGGAGAAAATAGGCATGGTCCCAGATGGGAGTCCTCAGGGGTCTAGTTGATCCATCTCCAGAAAGGGAGGCCAATCTGAGGAAGTGGGTGGGCATTGGATGGTCTGCTTCATTCCCATGATCTGTACCCATATACAGGATTTCAAAACATTATTTCCTGATATTGACAGACCCAGCCACCGGGATTTTGTTTATTGGAAACCTGACCAGTTTTGAACAAGGTTATTACCAGTGCACCGCTATTAACATCCTTGGCAATAGTTCCTGTGAAATTGACCTAACTACTTCATGTAAGTGGATTATATAACTTTTAACAGTTTCTCCTTAAGTATCCTGTGCCTGCCAATCAAGTCACTTAGACTTCTTGGTTAGTCTTTCCTGACTCTGGAGATTTTGGTGTTTTATTTATAGAATGATACAATGGACAACCATCCTAATATCTAATGCTTACATAATTCTTCATGTATGTAGAGTTCTAGGGCTTTCCACGGTCCCAGCCTATACAAGGCACTATCCCACTATATGAATGCCCTGAATATTTCCCACTGGTCACAGATTCACGAGAGGGGGCAGACACTGTGCTCCATTTTACTAACCAGCTGCTTGTATCCTCCAGATCCAGGAACTGGAATCATTGTTGGGGCCTTTGTGGGGACCCTGATAGGTGTTATCATTATCATCTCTATGGTGTGGTTCGTGAGGCGTAAGGTAAAGGCGAAGGGGAAGGAAAGGAAGAGGAATTCTAAAACCACCACAGAACTCGAGTAAGACCTTACTTCTGCTGTCTTTCCTTGAATAGACATGTCTCAGGCTTATCTCTCTCAGTCAGCTCTTCCTGAGCACGCCTCTTAGCATAAGATAGAGGGCTATCTCTCTGCTCGCTCTCGTTGCTTTTATGAAAGAGTGGTGATGGTTATCACGTACTGGGTACTGTGTGCCAGACTCTGTTCTAAGCAATTTTATGTATATCAACTCATTTACCTGTGACAACAGTCCTTTTAGGGCTAAGAAAATGTTATAATATATTCATCTACTTGTCTTTCTATGAACAGCAAATAAAATACAATTTTTAATATTATTTTTTATGGAACAAGGGGTCAATAGACACAAAACTGCTCACAGCCCAGGCTCTTGCCCACTCTATTCTTCTTCATCAAATGTATATCACACACGTTCATTTGTTCTTCCCTCCATTTCTGTGCTTCCACAACTATGTATTGGGTACCAACCAAGTGCCAAGTATTGTGCTAGATGGAGTGGGTGCTAGAGAGGCATTGGAGCCATGGATTTGGCCCCCAATGATCCTGTTAGATCTTTATACCCTTTCCTCCTGACATGAGTTTTCCTGCCTCTTAAACACTGGTTTGTTTCTCTTGACAGTATACAATACAGTTAAGACCTAACCATTCTGCACCCTAAATGGAGACCCATGGTCTGACAGTGAGTCAGACTATCAGAAATCACAGGGGTTTGGGACCTATGGTCACTGAGGCTACAGAGCCTATGGCTCCACATGAGATGTCAGACCTTAACTTGTTCTTGCCTGGGCCTTCTTCCCACAGACCAATGACAAAGATAAACCAAAGAACAGAGGGTGAGACAATGCCACATGATGATGTCATCCAACTCGAAGCCACCCTTCCGTCTTCCATCCATGAGACTGAGCCTGATACCACCCTGGGGCCAGATCATGAGCCTATCCCCGAGCCTGAGCCTGCCTTGCAGCCTACTGTGGAGCCACCCTCTGGACCTGAGCTTGTCCCCGTGTCTGAGCTCGAGATCCAACTGGAGCCAGAGCCTGTGCCCCAGCAAGAGCCCCAGCCCTTGATTGTAGATGAGCCATTTTCTGATGAGGAGAAGGGGGTGATTAAGCCATAGGCCAGTGGCCTGAATACAGTGTTCATCACCAAGGAACCCATTAGTGGCATGTGGAATTGAGTTGACCTAACTAATTTCCCTCCACCTGCCTCCATTCTGGCCAACCCTCTTCTAACATGGAGCTCTTACCATCAATTCAGAATAGACAGATGAAGATAACTACTAAATAAATGCAAGGGTTCCTGCATTACCAGTCTAGAGTACTTAATTTCACTAACCTGTAAACACAATTAATGACAAGTGATTTTGAACTCGTTGAAGGTGTTTTGTCACAACACCTGTGTCTTATTTCAGAAATCTTGTTTCTCTATTTTTAGCTATTCTTTGGCATTCCACATGCACACATGACAAGGTGCCATTAACTGGATTCAATATTATTTCTTGGATTTGCTGTTATCAGAGCTTCCCTATTCATTTTCACATTGATCACTAAGAATTCATCAACAATAATCTCATAGATTGGGGAAAAAAATCCTTAAAATTCCAGAGAAGAAAGGGTACATATTAATTGGTACATAGCATTTAAAACTAGGTCTTAAAATTAATGCTTCATTTATCATATTAGATTTCCCAGGGAACCACCGTGCTATCCAATATCTGAGCACAGCAAAATTTTAAAGTAAATTAACTTTTAAAACGCAAAATAATGTATGGGCAAACAATTCCAAATACAACTTTCCTTCAATGAATACAAAATGTTGATATCACAGGTAATGTACTATTTAGCTTTGAATGAGCTATTATGCTGTCGCACTGTCTGATGCTATCTCTACTTTGGAAGGGCCAAACTAAATGAACACTTAAGATCTATCTTAGATAATCTGAACACATTAACTGTTTTACTGTTGGGCTATTTCACATTAACAAAGAGATATCATTCTTGCATAAATGCTAACTATTAACTAAAATGCATTCATATCACCTCTTCACCTGCTAAAAAGCTTTTCTTTTGATTATATTTATCAACACCGCACTTTGAATAAATTTACAGGTAGACTTTTTCATTTGTGTAATCAGACTTTAAATCTTCTTTTAAGTAATACTCAATAAAAATCTTACTTTAATGAGCCTAAGGTAAATCTTTTATGAATAATTTTATCGGTTTTAACTTTATGTATAATAAACTGCACCTATTTCAAGTGTTTTGATGTGTTTTGACAGATGTATACACCCACGAATGCCTGCATACATGCTCAGTTGTTTCAGTCGTGTCTGACTCTTTGCCACCCCATGGACAGAGGAGCCTGCTGCCAGGCTCCTCTGTCCATGGGATTTCCCAGGCAAGAATACTGGAGTGGGTTGCCATTTCCTCCTCCAGGGGATCTTCATGACCCAGGGATCAAACCTGTGTCTCCTGTGGCTTCTGCACTGCGGGCAGGTTCTTTGCCACTGAGCCAGCAGTACACTCATGAAAGCACCATGGTAGTCTAAATAGAGCATTTCCATCATCCCAAAATGTTTTCTATGCCCCTTTGTGCACTCTCATGATCACCCTGGACCCAGGCAACCATTGAATTGCTTTTCATCATTAGAGATTAGCTTTGTCTTCTCTTGACCTTCATATAAAAAGGACCATATGGTGTGTACTTTTTTGTGTGTCTTACTTCCTTATAAGTGAAGTCTTTTTAAATAAAGAAATGAATCTTTAACTTATCACATCTAGGTTTTCATGTAGAGGAAACTGAGAAACTCTTTGTATATAGATTATACCTATACACTAATGGAGGTAGAGTCTCAGAAAGTTTTAGAGTAGACAGACATTGAAATTAACATTACACTTGTCCAGAGTCACGGAGAAAAGAGATAGCAAGTTTTTACTTATGTATTTTCTTTGATGTGTTAATTTTTAGCCATTCGCAGGGATTTTTGAAGATTCTGTAATTTTGTTCAGACTAAATATAATATTATGACATATAGTGTCTGATGGGTTCAGGAAGCAAAATGATGATGGTCTTAAGAATGACCTGATATTAAAAACCTGGTATTGAAAACCAAATACCAGCAGTGTAAAAATTTTAATGACCAGAACGCCAAAGTAGCTGAAATTCACCTTCCCTTCTACTTTTATGATAGAGGCAAATTACAAGAAAAGAGACTTATAATATATAATAGTTAACAACACCACTCCCAAATTTTCGATGAATTGGTGCTGAGCAGGAAGGCAGGAACTCTTGGTGGTCTTATAGAGTTCTGTTCTTCAGTCTAATGCTCTCCCAACTGAGCTATTTCAGCTACTTCTTAAAGTTACCCACTCCAGTATTCTTGCCTGGAGAATTCCATGGACAGAAGAGCCTGGCAGGCCACAGTCCATAGGGTCACAAAGAGTCAGACACGACTGAGAGACTTCACTTCTGATCAAAATGTTGATAGATTAGTGGGTTTTTTTTTTTTACCTTTTTCTAGGCTATGGATCACTTTGAGAAAATGCTGTTAACTCTGGACCCCTCTACTTATAAAAATGCTTATATACATACAGTGTCATGTCCAGTTTTAGAAAATTGCAGATGCCCAGAATCCAAGAATAAGAATTAGTGATTTATATAAAAACACAGAAGGCACATTTAATAAAATCATGTTTCCTGGGGTGCATGGATACTCTGCTGTATGACTCAAAATGATCTTGATAGTCTGGGAGCTGACTTGAAATCAACATAGTGAGTTTGCCAGGAATGGAGGGTATGGTCCTGTTTTAAGGATGTAAGAGTACATGTTGCCCATGCAGAAACCCTAGCTGGGCAAGGTTGGGAAGTAGGTGAGGTTAATCGGAAGTGATATCTTTGGATCTCTGTTTTCAGTGCCCTTGGCCTTCTGGCATCTTATTTTCCAAACACCTGGGATTGTCATGTGCCTGCTGGCTCTGTGACCCATTCAGGTCTGTGTCCCTTCAGCAGGATTATTACTCAGCCTCTCTCTCCCTTTGCCACCCTTTCCAAATGTAGCTGTTCTGTGGCCTGTTCTTGTCCAGTGGATATGATCTTTCATCAACCAGTGATGTCATTCAAGATAATGAGCTAGCCCTCTTAGAAATAATTATCTTTTAACAGGACTCTTGAAAATAATTCTTTGGTCCAAAGATACTAATAATGGTGGAATTTCAAGTACTGGAACAATCCAGAGGGGAAGTATTCCTGGCAAAAGAAGCTTTCTCAGCCCCTCTCAAATCAAACCATATGGGTTACCATCTAACTACTCCATCTACTTGTAAGGCCACTCTGGGTCAGTGCAAGTTTTATCCCAGGCTGTTAATCTTGTATTAGTATCAATACATCCATAATATACCATATATTTATGTTTGTGATGAATCCTGAGACATTTTACAGATTCATAGCAAAATTGTGTTCACTAAATCTTACTTGGGTAGGAAAATGGGCTCCTATGTTAAAGAGATTCCCAATAAGGAAATAAAAGTTTTTTTCCCCCTGCTTATTCATCAGTGGATCAGAAGATAAGTAGTGGATAGGTCATCACCCAAATATTCTAGAAGATGGGTTAAGCGTCAACCAAATTCTTTCAGCATAATTCTCATTCAGATAGGGTACAACCTGATTTATTTTGCTACAGGTAGTTAAAAGTTAGGTGGGTCATCCCAACCAAATCCCCAACCAGCCTTGACTTCTTAACCATTCACTTCTCACTGCCCAAAAAGATTTCCAGGAACTTCTTTCACCTGTTTCTGCATTTAGCAACTACGATATGATAAAGTCAATGGAACAGCTTTGTAGCTTTCGGTCCTTATTGTCCCCAAATTCATCTGTTTATTCAGTCACCCATTGGATGTTTACTGAATAGCTACTATGAACCAGGTACTGTAGCTGGTGACACAGTGCTGAGCAGAATCAGAGCTAGGACTTGTCTTCATGTATTAATAGTATACAGCTTTACTAACTGTGACAAGTTCTTACATGTCATCAACAGTAGTGCACTGACTAAAGGGCAAGAAGGCTGGAATTTGTATGGCATGGCAGAGGGCCTCCAAGTAATAGTGATCTATGATTTTTTTTTTAAAAAAAGGACTAAAACATAGTAATTCTTGACCAACAACCCAGAAGCTATTTATTAATATTTGAGATCTTTTATATGTTCTTTGGAGTACCAAGCAAATATTCCCCCCAGTATTGTATGCTGAGAAGTTAGCATTTGCAGCTTTTACCCTGAACTTCCAGTAAGAAGAGCTAGAAAGGAGCTTTGAGATTAATAGGACTCAAGCTTTTTTCAAACTCAGTGCACCTAAGGATAGTAATGCACATAATGGCCCACTCCTGACAATGATGGGGTGGAAGTAGGAGATCATGCAGAATTATAATCTTGGTGGGAGAGACAGGAAGAGATGAATGTTGTTTAAGAACCTGGGTCATTCTGGGACTTCCCTGGTGGTCCAGTGGCTAAGACTCTATGCTCCCAATGTTAGGGGCCCAGGTTCTATCTCTGGTCAGGGAACTAGATCTCACATGCCACAGCTAAAGATCCTGCATGCTGCAACAAAGATGGAAAATCCTGCATGCATCAACTAGGACCAGGTGCAGCCAAATAAACAAAAATATTTTTTAAAAAGCTGGGTCATTCCTATAGAAGCCCACCCAATCTGATTCCCAGTGTAATGTTCCTTTAACTGCACCAAATTACTAAATTCAATGAAACAAACCCAAGGTTTAGTAATAAAAAGTGGTTTTACAATGTCTACATGCTGTAAAACAGGTTGTGCTTGCTTGTGCTGTGCTTAGTTGCTCAGTCGTGTCCGACTTTGTGACCCCATGGATGGTAGCCCACCAAGCTCCTCTCTCCATCGGATTCTTCAGGCCAGAATACTGGAGTGGGTTGCTGCGCCCTCCTCCAAGGGGTCTCCCACATTGCAGGTGGATTCTTCACCATCTGAGGCAACAGGGAAGCCCAAGAATACTGGAGCAGGTTGCCTATCCCTTCTCCAGGGGATCTTCCTGACCCAGGGATTGAACCCAGGTCTCCTGTATAGCAGGCAGATTCTTCACCAGCTGAGCTACCAGGGAAGCCCGTAAAACAGGTTATGGGGTCTCATAAAAGGTTCAAACCAATCTAAAGATTCAATAATCCTACTTGTCTTTGAAGCTTTGGTTTTAAAACAAAAAATAATTCAAAGATGATAATGAAAGTTCTGGGAAACCAGAAAATAAATCACCCCGCAAGTCCACCAATGTAAAGAAAAGCACAGGGTTTGGGGGGTGTGTGTGTGTATGTGTGTATGTTCAGTTGCTAAGTCGGGTCTGACTCTTTGTGACCCCATGGACTGCAGCATGCCAGGTTTCCCTGTCCTTCATCTCCCAGAGTTTTTTCAAATTTGTGTCCATTGTGTTGATGATGCCACCCAACCATCTCATCCTCTGTCGCCCCCTTCTCCTCCTGCCCTCAGTCTTTCCTGCCATCAGGGTCTTTTCCAGTGAGTCGACTCTTCGTACCAGGTGGTCAAAGTATCGGAGCTTCAGCTTCAGTGGGTGGGTATTACAAGTAATGGATTATTGTCAAAATGTCACAGTACCTTCCATTTGGCCCACTGTTTTTTGAGTAGAGGCGGAAAGAAAATGAATCATTTTCTTTCAGGATCAAGATCCAGGAAATTTAGTGTTGGTTGTAGTTCTAGCTCTTGGTGTTTGATCATCTGTAAAATGGAGACGATTTCTGCCCTCTTAATGGCTACAATGGCGAATGAATGTAAAAATTTATAAAGTGTGGTATTCTACTTTTGGAGAACCTATGTCTGCTGATAATTGATTCAGTATTTTTTTCTCTCAACTGGGGATTCCTTTTAATTAAACTTTCTATTTTGTATTGGAGTTTAGCTAATTAACAATGCAGTGAGTTTCAGATGGACAGCAAAGGGACTCAGCCATAAATATGCATGTATCCATTCTCCCCCAAACTCCCTTCCCATCCAGGCTGCCACATAACATCGGGTGGAGTTTCCTGTCCTATACAGTAGGTCCTTGTTAGTTATCCATTTAAAATATAGCAGTGTGTACATGTGTGCATTCTCAGTCACTCAGCCATTTCCGACTCTTTTGCAACTCCATGAACTGCAGCCTGCCAGGCTCCTCTCCCCATGGGATTCTCCAGGCAAGAATACTGGAGTGGGGTTGCTGTGCCCTTCTCCAAGGGATCTTCCCAACCCAGGGGTTGAACCCACATCTCCTGCATTGCAGGTGGACTCTTTTGAGCCATCAGGGAAGCAGTGTCCATCCCAAACTCCCTAACTACCCTTTCTTCCCATACTTCCCCTCAACCAGGTATTCTTAACCTTTTTAGAAGTCATACATCCCTTTGAGAATCTGATGAAAGCTACAAAACCCTCTTTGCCAGAAAAATGCACATTAAAATGCATTCAATTTTAGGCAGTCAGTACAACTGTGAAGTTATAGTCATACACCTCCAAGTGAGGAGCTCCCATATTATATCAAACCTTGCTAACAGAAGAATCTGGGGGCTTGATCGTGTAAAACGATATGGAAACAAAAAGCAGAAAACATTGCCATGTAATGAGTTCAATGTAGTTGGTATAGTTATATTGGGAAATCAAAACACTAGGGTCAACTAAATTGTTAAGTCAGAGATTATGAAGTAAAATGTACAATTATCTTGAATCTCAAAGAACCACACTGATAAGGCAGACTCCCTCCAATAAATAGGAATGTAATTTTTTCCACTCTTTTATTTATCTATTGTTTCCATATTATATTCTCAGTTAAGCTCTACAATTAAAATTATCATCTTTCCTGAGTTCATTTTGAACATAACTGTAAAACCTGCTGAACTTGAATCAGTTTCATCTCTACTGGGTTTCCTATAGGGAACATGAAACAATCTGATCAATATCTGAGGCCATCAATACCCTCAGTTTTAGTGATTGAAATGTTAAGCCACTTCATTTAAAATGCCAAAAGGGAGTTCCCTGGTGGTCCAATAGTTAAGACTCCACAGTTCCAATGCAGGGGGTGCAGGTTGGATCCCTGGTCAGGGAACTAAGGTCCCAAGTGTCACATGATGCAGGCAAAAAAATAAAATGGAATAAAATGCCAAAGGCCTACAAATTACATGAGGCTTGGTTCCATCTGTATTGTTTATTAAAGAATTAAGATGAGTTTTCTTTTACATTCGTAAAACTTACTACCTCAGACAAAAAGACTCAGCACTTTTGAATACCTTCAGTCCTAACAAGCTCTATTAGATACAACTTTACTCTGTTATCACACTAAAAACATTAGAAAGAAATTATTTCCCATCATCAATTCTATTTCTCGCATTCAATAAACAAAGTCTAGTTCTATAAGAATATGCTTCCCTGATTAATAATTGTAAAGCTCAACACTCAAAATACTTATGTAAAAGGGTTTGCATATAAACAACACATTTGTGTTTACAAAACTCATTTTAGATACCAGTCATTAAGTTTCTGACCCCAAATTAATTGAAGGCTGTGGACTCACTTGGATTACTTATTTCAAGCAATATTTGCAGCATAAAATTCAAATAAAAAATAATTAGAAGAGTCACTTGGAGTTCATTAGATTTTATGGCTAGTAATCATTTAAAATGTTTCCCTAAATTGAGATCAAGTTTATACTTATTTTCTTTTCCTCCAATTTAATTAGCAATTCAGAAGATTTTTACATATTTTAGCTGCAGTTCAAGCTTCACTAATTTTACTGACTTTAGAGCTACCAAAAATTTAAAAAGTATCTTTATAAAGCCTTTAAAGGCTTAAGTGAGTATCTAACTGATGTGAAAGAAGAATCAAGAGATTCAGCATTTTATTTTTTTAGCTGCTGAAATACAAATCAAAATTCGTTTTTGTTATACATCATGGTAACAAACTTGACATTCTTTTCAGTATGGTGTGATTTAATATAGGTGGTTTAAAATTTTCTTTTTAAAAACAATACATTTTACTTTGGAGGGAAACAGCTCATTAAAAAAGACACTGGTACCCAAGTGATTATATTTTATTAGCTTAGTGTTTATGAATGCCAAACTTGGACAGAATCCCCGAACCGAAAACTTGGTCCTCACAAGATGTAAGTATTCCTCCGATAACAAAAACAAATTAAACTGTACTGTCGGAAAAAACAGAAATATGTGGCATAGGCTTCTGAGTGATCTTGAAAAACGAGTTACGATGTGTTTCAACTGTATGGAGGAACATTCTCGCATCTACCTAGAAACATTTGGCAAAACAATTGGCCTGGTGCTACTGGGGTTGTTCTGCCTCAAAGGGGGATAGAAGGTGCATGATAGGGTGCTTAAGACTCACAACAGCCACAGAATCACTTGCACAGAATTAACCAAAATTCAATACAGAATAATATAAAAGAGTAGAACAATGTCAACAGTTCTTCAATGCCTGGAAAGCAAGTTGTAAGCTAAGAACAAATAACTCGGCAGGAACAATAGTAAACATGTTTATAAGACTTGGGAGATGAAAAAACTTCGTCATTCATAGATGATGTCTTGTGCACAAGTACATTAGTTACCAGTACATTAGGGAACAGCCACAAAACTAACAAAGTAAGACTAAATCCAAGCTGCTTAGCTTTCCACCATTCTCTTGAGTATTAAACCCAGCCCACCTTTGGCCACTTGCAGGGGTGTTTTTTCTTCTTTATTCTCAATGTAAATGCTTGCTCCTTGGGACACCAGCAATTTTGCTTCTTCCACTCTCTCTTCATCACAGGCTAAGTGTCTGAAATGAAGGACCACAGAGATTAATCATTTCCAATTCTATGTAATGGTTAGGAGTTCTTGACAGGTAGTCTAAACTGCATATGGTCGTGTGATGTTGGAAAGTTATTTAATCTTGAAAGGAAAATTTATTTCCATGGAGAAGAGTGTTTCTAATTTAAAATTCAGTGGAATATAGCTTTATAATCTCAGATCATAAATAACAATTCTGACCCTATTACAACAAAAGTTATCTAAATGCCAGCCTAAGGAACAATGCCCTCATTTTATGGAGATTAGTAGGTTATACCAAACACATATAATAATTCTGGGTTAGAATTTAGAAAAACCTCTATACATAATCTGCTAATAGAAACTTGTGTGGCTTAAATATTGGAAAAGCAGTCTATAAAAATTTTTATATCATCTAATTTTTATAGGCACTTTGTAGGTTAACAAGGTATTATTATCACCATTTTACAGTTGAAATTGTAACAGAGGTTAAAGTCTTTGTATATGATGACGACATGGCTGAGCAGTGAGTTGGGCAGGGGTGGGGGTGGGGACCTTGTGAGGCACTTAACAGTTTACTGGGTAGAGTACTATACACTTAACATGTTATTTTATTTAACCTTAGGGAGGAAGGAATTTTACACATCTCATATTACAGATAAGAAAATTAGACTCAGGAAAGTTAAGTAACTTCTCCAAGTTATTTAATGCAAGTATTTAATATAGCTGTTAAGTGGCTGAGTTTGGATAGGGCAAATAGCATCTAACTATTCCTTAATCTTTGGCTCTTCCCAGGACCCAACACTGCCTGTGACTCCTAAATTTCCTCCAGGCCACCCCCACCTTTCTTATTTGGAGAAAAGGGCTAGAACATGCATGTTTTTCTAAATAAAGCCACTCAGAACTACAGAGAAAAATTTTAAAACAGAGTTAAAAAAACAATACTTTTAAGAAAATTGAATCTTACTCTGGACTAAAAAGAAGACTCATAGAATTTCTGGTTCAAAAAAGTCACCATATAATAAGGAATAAAAGTAGCCAAGTACTGTAGAAGAAATATTAAGGTAGAGGATGGCTTCAGGTCATACATAATCAATGCCAGATGCATTTGAGTTAAATGAAAAACAGTAACTAAACCAAACCAATGCAATGTTTTTTTGTAAAACAGTAATAAAATACAGGTGACTTAAGTGTACATAGTATAATCAGTGTTAGTCACTCAGTTGTGTCTGATTCTTTGTGATCCTGTGGACTATAGCACACCATGCTCCTCTGTCCATGGGATGTCCCAGGCAAGAATACTGGAGTGAGTAGTCATTTCCTTCTCCAGGGGATCTTCCCGACTCAGGGATCAAACCTGGGTCTCCTGCATTGTAGGCAGATTCTTTACCATTCGTGCCACCAGGGAAGCCCAATAGATATAAAGAAACTGGATCTGCAATGAAAATGCCTGAGTTCTTGATTGTAGTGTGTGAAAGTATATTAGTTGCTATGTCGTGTCCGACTCTTTCAACCCCATGGAATGTAGCCTGCCAGGCTCCTCTGTCCATGGAATTCTCCAGGCAAGAATACTGGAGTGGGTAGCCATTCCCTTCTCCAGGGGATCTTCCTGACCCAGGGATTGAACCTGGGTCTCCTGCATTACAGGCAGATTCTTTACCATCTAGGCCACCAGGAAGCCCCAAAATACAGGTAAATATTTATCTAACTTCAGGGTGAGGAAGCACTTTCTAGCTATGAGGGAAGATTAATAGATATGACTATATAGAAGTTGAAAACTTCTGTTATTTCAAAAAAAAATAAAATTTAAAGACAAACTGGGAAAATATTTTCAACTATCATGGAAGAATGTTAATATATGTACTATGTCAAGGATACGCAAATGAATCAGTAAAAATAAATTAATTTTCCAAAAGGAAACAGAGAAAGGGATATAGAAAGCTATAATTTAGAGAAGAAATATAGTCATAGGCACTAAAAATGTTTAGCTTCCTTGATAGTAAGAAAATGCAAGTTACAACTCTGAAACACCATTTTTCCTATAAGAAAAGGATATTTTTTGTGTTGGAGAGGGGTAATAGGCACTCTTCAACTGCTGTTGGAAGGAGGCAATAATACAACTTCTCTGAAAGTAATTTGGGAATATACAGCAACTGTTTTAAAATGTGTATCTGTTGACCCAACAATCCTAGTTCTACACTAAGATACTAATCAGCAATATGGCCAAAGGTTTTCATATAAAGTTTGATCAATGCAGCATTATTTATAATAGTGGAAAACTCAAAAAAGCTTAAATATACAGTAATAGAGGAATTATTAAATTCTGGCACATCCATAAAATAGCATTGTGTATAGGCATTCAAAATCACTTTAGAAATATTTATTAACATTGGAAAATGCTTACAGTATGAGGTAAAAAGCATAAGATATGAAACTACATACACAATATGGTTCCAATTTTAAAAAAAAGCGTATGTAAAGTATGCATATTTACATATAAAAGACAGGGAGGAAATACATTAAAATGTTATCAGTGGTTATTTCCAGGTGGCAAGCTGATAGGCACTTTGAATTTTTATCTTTATACTTTTATGTATTTTCAATTTTTTTGGCCATAAACATGTATTATAAGCAGAATTTAAAAAAATAATGTGTAAGAATTAGTGCAAGAGGGCTAATGTCAGGTAGAATACAAATGACTGCTACTCGTCACTTACAGAGGAGTGTTACCCTCAGTGTCTTGGATGTTTGTGGAAGCTTTGTAGTACAGAAGAATATGAATCATCTTCAAGTTACCCTTGGCTGCTGCCCGGTGCATTGCTGTGGCCTCATAATGGTCCTTAGCGTCTGGATTAGCTCCACCTTCCAGTAACATCACAGCAATCTGGGAAGATGTAAAAGAAAACAATGCAGATATCTGTTAATATTTGTGTTTGCGTAGAGGTTTAGAACTCAAAAGAAGAAGCCTAGGAATGGAACCCTACCTCATGCCTGTTTTTGGAAGCTGCATAATGTAGGGGAGTACAGCCATTTTGATTGACAGCATTCACTTGAGCACCTTTTCCCAGAAGGGCTTTGACAATCTCATCTCGGCCAGCAGAAGCAGCAATATGAAGAGGAGACCAACCTGCCTGTAAAAGAGGTGGACAGAACACAAACAAGGCAGAAAAGTCACAGGGATTAATGCCAACATTAAGACAGGGTTTACAGAGCTGTGTATGAATGGTTTTAAAAAAATATATTCTTTCTCTTTCCCTCATTAAGCACTGCAGGATATTTGGAAATCAGATACATACAAAAGAAAAACATCCATAATTCTGTAACATGGAGACTACCGAAGTCTAACTCTAATGTGTTTTTAAATAGGGATCATAGGATATCAAGCTCCGTTAAGTTGTATTTTCCACAATTTCCACTTATCATCATGTTATAGGAATTTTTCTGTCATTCTTTGGAATCATAACTTTATTGACTGCATACTATTATGTGGATATACATACTGTACTCAACTGTTCCTCCATTATTTTTCTTTTTTTGCCATTAAGAATATTATTTCCTCAAGCATCCTTGAAAAGGAACCTGCTTATAAAAAGTTTTCACCCTTACTCTTCAGAAAGTGAAAGTGAAAGTCACTCAGTTGAGTCCGACTCTTTGCGATCCCATGGACTATACAGTCCATGGAATTCTCCAGGCCAGAATACTGGAGTGGGTAGCCGTTCCCTTCTCCAGGGGATCTTCCCAACCCAGGATCAAACCCAGGTCTCCCGCAGTGCAGGCAGATTCTTTATCAGCTGAGCCACAATAGAAGCCCAAGAATACTGGAGTGGGTAGCCTATCCCTTTTCCAGCAGATCTTCCCAATCCAGGAATCAAACCGGGGTCTCCTGAAAGAAGTCTTACCCTAATATAACTAGTACTATTGCACTAAATCTCTATATAACAAAAAAGGTTCTAGGCCCTCATTCTAATATCTAGGCACTATTCACCAAAAAGTTTTTAACATAATAAAAAAGGGTTTGTAGTCTCTTAGAGGTCATTGCAATAAGACTTGATCTGCATGCTTACCTTAAATTACAGGCTATGAATGGCAAAATTAACATTCTGAAATAATGCTACCACCAGTCCTGTATTTGGTCACTGGTGCCATGCTGCAACTTCCTAGTCATAAAGGTTAAAATTTGTTTGTGACTTTAATTCTTGGGCTTCAGTAAACACCAGTCTGGACTCTAAAGATAACAGGGAATTTATCAACTCTGTGTAGTACTCACATCATCTTTATCATTCACTGGCACTCCAAGTTGCAACAAGAATTCAACAATTTCTGTATGTCCAGCTGAGCATGCCCAATGCAATGCTGTTCTGCTGTCCTACACGGGAAACAGAGAAGCAGTAAAATCAACATTCTTGAAAAGAAATAGAAGAACTAAGACAAGAAAGCAGAACATATTAATCCTGAGCCAGTGAACATACGGTTTGGAAACAAGAAATGGAGAGGACTGGATCCTCAGGTAGGTAACCTTAAACTACATTACGTATATAAGAGAGCCTAAGGTTTTAGTACCATGCAGAGAATACATTGATGAATGTAGGTAATTCTGGGTAGAATAGACCCATGAAAGCAATAGAGCAAAAAACTTACTTCAGTGCTTTGGCAGCAATAGAGCTTTGGCTATGTACATATTTTTATGTCAGGCACTGTGCTAAAAATTTTACATCTATCATCTCCTGTAATCCCCATGATCCTATATAGTATATATTATCCCCATTTTACAGATTAGGGAACTAAGATTCCTCAAGGTAAGCAGCTTGACCAAGGTCACATAGCTAGCAAATGTTAGGACACAAGCCTGAATTTTCTAGATGCTCTAGAAAGAACAAGTGAATCTTATGGAAAGGAAATGTTCATAAAACTAGTTGAGATTTTGTATATAGCCATTTTAAAAACATACTACACACAGAATTAGAAAGCAACATTATTTTAAAAAAATAAGCTAGAAAGGAGTTAAGTCATGTCTCTCAAAAAGAATTTCTTGCTCTTATTTTTTTTTTTGCAGTGACTGCTATATTTCTTAGCTCTGTGTAAAAGAAAACAGTATTATAAGCTTTATTACAAAAATTTCAAACTCATATAAAAATAGGCCAATCACCTACATTGTACAAATGTTTTCCAACATTTCCTTCATGTTTTTTTTCTTAAAGAGATTTTAAAAAACAAATCTTAAATATCATGACTTTTCATCCCTAAATATTTGAGTGTCTAAAAAACACTTTGTTGTTTAGTCCGTAAGTCCTGTCCAACTCTTGTGACTCCATGGACTGTAGCCTGCCAGATTTCTTTGTCCATGGGATTTCCCAGCCAAGAATACTGGGGTGCCATTTCCTTCTCCAAAAAAATACTTTACTACATAGCTATTACACTGCTTAAAATTAACTCTAACTCCTTTATAACATCAAATACCCAGTCTGTATTCAGATTTCCCCAACAGTACCCCAAATGTCTTTTTGCAGTTAGCTTGTTTTCAATCATGATCCATACAAGCCACAAGTTGCAACAATTGTTTAAGTCTTTTGATCCTGAATAGTTTCTCCCTTTTTTATGCCATTGACTTGATGAAGAATGGTTAGAAGTATTATTAAATCTTAATTTTGTTAAATTAAATCTAAAGTATTAAACACTACCAGACCAAACTAAAGGCAAACTAGGCAAAGGGATTTTTCAGGTTGAGCAACAAAGGAAAGTTCCAGAGAAGTTTCCTGACTTCTAATTCTCTTCCCAAACACACAAAATGGAGATTTTTTAATTATGTGACACTGTCTTGCTAGTGTTTAGCACGGTGCCTGTCAAACAGGAAGCAATCTATAAATGTTTGTTGGTTACTGAGGGCACCATGAATCTTTCTAGAAACTCAGGGTGAAAGCATGAGGGTTCCTTAAGTAAGAGAGCAGAAAGAAATATTTCCCAAGGTCCATTCTCTTTTGTTTCCCTTCTGCCTAAACTGCCCATTCATCCTCCAGGAAAACCTCTCATTCTTCAAGATACAGTCGATCTTCCCTCCTTTGCAAAGTCTTTAGGGTTACAACATTCGGCTTTTCTAAGCCAGATTAAATCAGGTCCTTCCATGATATGTTCTGAAAGCACCACGTCAACTTCTCTCCCGAAGAATACCACATTTGAAATCAGACATATGATTTGGGATTATTTTATACACGTCTGCTCCTTCCAGTAACTGCCTGACACACAAGAGGCGTTCAGTTACACATGTTGCCTCGAATAAAATCACTAATAAAAGCAAAGAAATCCATTTCAAAAATCCAAAAACTTTCCTTCTCACAGATGCCTCAAAGATTGGGCATTTCTGAGAAATGAGCTAAACGTTCTAGAAACATCCAAAATACAGCGAGCTAAGTACCGGGCCAAAGTGGGGGGGGGGGAACATTGGCGGTTTGCGGGGCTAGATCGTGCCGCTCTATCCCGAGTCCTGAGGTGACCCAGGGGTAAGGATAGGGAGGCGGGGGCGGGAATCCCGCCCTCTCGGAACCGGCCTCCCCCTGGACTGGGCAGGGCTGTGCAGCCACGTTGTCTCCGCCGCCGCCTGCGGAGAGGGTCCAGCGCTACTTTACCTGGTCAGTCCTAGTGGCCAGGGAATTATCCGCCAGGATCCTCTCCTTTAACTCCTCCAGCTTCCCGGTGTAGGCCAGGTTGCAGACCATTAGGTTAGACACACAACCCTCCATTTCGCTTTCCCAGGATCACAGCGCAGCCAGATCCACCACCTCCTCACTTCGCAGGCTCCGAGTGCCAATCACAAGAGCCCGTAGAGCTCCACCAATCACCATCCTCTCGTCTTCCTTTGCTTTTCCCATCGCAGGGCGCCTCTGGGAATTGCAGTCTGAGCGCAGCTCCGGGCAGGGAGGTGCCTTCGCCACTCTCCCTGACTCTGCCCCTAGCGGCGCGGAACTACGAGTCCCAGGGTCCCTTGCGGCCACCGTAGTCAAGTGGCCGGTGGAATTGGCCCAGGATGACAGCTGGAGAATGGAGTCAGGTATGGGGAGCGGCTTCGTGTAGAACCGGGGTGGGTGGTCGCTGCTGGGGCACTAAGTCGGTGACGCGAAATGGGTGCGGGGTCATGGCAAGAGAGTTATGGGAGCCAAAAAGTCCTGTCCTGGGGGCCCTGACCTCCAGTGGTAAGCGGAAGGGAAGACGGTAAGCAGCTGAGTATTACCTCCTGAGCTCGAGCCAGTGCCTGTGGCCACCCTCCCCATCGCTCCTGCTGCTGCCAAAGGATTGGAACGAAGTAGGGGTTATTTATGCTGACATTTCGGTGGAGTGGCATTAGGGCAGAATTCTGCCACAACAGTGATAGCATATGACACTAAGGTGATGTGCCAGGGTGATGCCAAAGGCAGGGTGTGATGCCATAGGAGCCACTTGATATCTAAGAGATCTCACGGAGTCCATGGCGTGGTGACATAACAACTTGAGGGTCATCTTGACTCTGTCTATAGTGTTGACTCTTTAATATCACCATAATAAAGGTGACATCGAGGTTTTGCTAGACTATTAAGCTAATAGTGTTTCTATTTATGGGAATCCTAAATAGTGCCACAGCAGAAGAGATGCACGGCTTATCCTTTATAGGGGATATCCAGACTGGCATCATACTATAGCTAAGTATGATAAGAGTATACTCAATAAAGAGACTGATTATATTTACCCTGTTATGGTGTAGAACAGGGCTTGGCAACTTTTCTGTGAAGAGCTACATAGTAAATAGACTTTGTCAGTCAAAAGGCAAAATTATAGGATCTATACTAAGGAAGGACGGGCTTCCCCGGTGGCTCAGATGGTAAAGAATCTGCCTGCAATGCAGGAGACCGTGGTAGATCCCTGGGTCAGAAAGATCCCGTGGAGAAGGGAGTGGCTACCTATTCCAGTATTTTTGCCTCCAGAGTTCCACAGACATGGGGTTACAAAGAGAGGGACAGGACTGAGTGACTAATATACTAAGGGCATTATGCCAAAACTAGGTAATGATAACAATACACTCAAGAAGGAGACTGATTATATTTATCCTGTAATATTGTAGAACAGAGTTCTGTAAAGAACCAGATAGTAGGCTCTGTGGGCTAAAAAACAAAATCGAAGATAATGTGTAGGTACTTATATGACAAAGGAGAAAACAAATTTCAGCAAATGTTTATTGATAAAATTCATAGTAATAATAATTGAGCATTTATTTTAGGTAATACAGGACAACTAATGAGAATAATGGAATTCTTTTGGGGGGATAACATTTTGTTTATTTGGGGCTAATAGTATTCTCTGTTATCAAAATAGTTTCAAATGTTCATGATAATGCTCATCTGTAATGAGATTTTACACATTTCATCTTTATAAATGTCTTTTCACACAGATAGGTATGAATGCACAAACATTCTTGTTATTTTTTAGTTAAATTTCAGAATAGTGTGAGGTTTATGGAAAAATTGGAAAGATAATGCAGAATTCCTGTGTATTCCTCATCCAGTTTCCCCTACTCTTCCTTTCCTATTTTTAATAACTTTGTTAGGATATATTTTTCATATCATAAAATTCACCCATTTCAAGTGTATAGTTCAATATTTTTAGTAAATTTACTGAATGATGCAACCATAATCATGTTTTAGAACATTTTCACTTCCCCACTAAATCCCTCATACTCATTTATTTACAGTTCATTCAAACTCCCAACTCCAGGTAACCACTGATCTATTTTCTGTCGCTATAAATTTGCATATTCTGGACAATTTCATCTGAATTAAATCAAGTAAGAAGTGGTCTTTTGTGCCTATCTTCTTTCACTTAGCATATTTTTGAGGTTCCTCCATACTGTAGCATGTACCAGTACTTCATTAATTTTTATTGCCAAATAGTATTACATTATATGGCTATAACACATTCTGTCTGTCTGCTTACTAGACATGTAGGTTGTTTCCAGTTTTTGGCTATTAAGAATAATGCCACTAAGGACATTGGTGTGCAAGTCTGTGTGGACAAATGTTTTAATTTTCTTTGATAGGAACATAAGAGTGGAATGACTGGATCATATGGCAGATTTATCTTTAACTTTATAAGAAACTACAAAACTATTTTCCAAAGCGGCGGCACTGTTTTGCATTTCTGCTAGCAATGTATGAGGGTTTCTCTTTCTCCACCTCCTCACCTACATTTGTTGTCTGTTTTTTTGTTTTAGCCATTCAGAGTAGATGTGAAATGATATGTCTTTGTGGTTGTAATTTGTACTTCCTTAAAGACTAATGACGATGAGCATGTTTTCATTTACTTATTAAAACATACATACCTCTTCTCCATTTTTAAATTGAACTATTGTCTTTACTGACTTTTTATTGTTGAATTGTAAAAATTATTTATACATTGTGGATACCAGTCTCTGTAGATACATGGTATGTGGATATTTTGTCCCACTCTGTTACTTGTCTTTTCATTTTCTTAATGATGCAAAAAATTAAAATTTTGATGATATCTAATTTATCCTTTGTTTCTTTTATGAGATGTGCTTTTGGTGTTGTACACTTTTAAAAACTCTACATTTTATTGTTATTAGTATTTAGAGGTGTATTTAGAGGTGTATTTAGAGGTTACCATCACCACAGTATTATTTGAAACATTTCCATTACCTTGTGCCCCTTTTCACTTACACCCCATATCCACTCACAGGCCTGGGCAACCACTAATTTTTTGTCTCTATGGATTTTCCTTTGGGGAGATTTCATATACATAGAATCATACAATATATATGAATCATACAAAAATCTTTTGTGTTTAGCTTCTTTCACTTAGCATAAGGTTTATAAAGTTTTTCCAAATTGTAGTATGTATCGATACTTCATTTTAATGGCTAAATAATATTCCGCTGTATGACTTTCCATATTTCACTTATCCATTCATCAGTTGGTTGGCTTCTGCCTTTTGGTTATTATGAATAATGCTGCTATAAACATTCATGTACATGTTTCTGTGCAGATATATGCTTTCATTTCTCTTGGTACCTATCTAGGAGTAGAATTTCTGGGCCATGTGAAATTCTATGTTTAAATTTGTGAGGAACTGCCAGAATTTACCAAAGTGACTGTATATTTTCCCCTCCCATTAGCAATGTATACTATTCTCCTCCACATCTTTACCAACACTTGTTAATGTCTATTTTTTTGTTACAGCCATTCTAGTGGGTGCAAAGTGTTATCTCATTGTGATTTTGTTGTTTTGATTTGTAACAGCATGGAAACTGTATAAAGCATGTTGGCATCACTTATGATTCAAACAGTGTTAGCTGTTGAAATGACTTTCCTACTGTTTAAGTTTCACATATAAGTGCTCTTTTCCCTTGGAATTTTAGGTTGAATTAATTAAGAAACATTATCAAGTCTGGAGGAAAAGCTAATGTCCAGGGCCATTTGGTGTTTGGTATTAGTGGATGAAGGCAGTTTTTCCAACAGGTGAAAAAATGTAAAAGTCATTCATACCTTCCTTACCATAAGGAAAATACAAAATGAACCTAATTTGACTTTCCAGATGTAGCTTGCTAATGGCTGGTGTATAGTGAAAGTGTCCTGTATTTAGTAGGGGTTCAATAAATATCCAGTTGATTTCAGAGGTACAGAAGGCCTGTTGTGTGGCACTCACAAAGGATTGGGTATAGTAACATTTTGCTATAATAATACATCAAGAAATTGGATTTGATTGCCAGAAACAGCTGGAGATAAACTTCAAGTGCCCCTACTACTGAGTGACTTGTTTGGGTAACCTTTTATAGATGGTGTGTTGTGCTTTTAAATTATTTGATATGAAATAGCAAAAAAAAAAAAAAAGTCTGCAATCACACACAAAAAAAATTATTTGATATGACTGGGTGGTTAGCTTTCAATTCTGAATCCCTTAAGGTCAAGGGTAAGGTATTCTTTCACTTTTTGAAAGCTGCAAGACAAATAGATCTCTAAGGGAGAACATGTCTTCTCTTTTGTTACTGTCCCCAAGTATGGAGGAACAGTGTGGTTACTGTTTATTTATCAGGAGTCAAATGGGTGCCCTGTTAGGGATGGACTTCCTTGCTACTTGTGCAATTGAATATTCCCTTTTCTACTGGTCGTCTAGAGTTTAGGTCCTAGAACAAGCCAAATCCATCATCTGGACTTCGAGAATAATATTTACAGATCACATGTGTCAGGTATTGCGCTTTTCTCATTTAGTCTTTCACAACAACCCTTTGAGGGAGTTTCCATATTCCCGAGTCCCCACCTTAAAAAAAAAGAAAGAAGAAAAAAAGGAGAATACAGGCACAGAGAAGCAAAATAGCATGCTTGAGGTCACGCAACTTGGCAAAGGTTGGAGCTAAAATGGTAACCCAGTGCTATTCTACCCTAAAACCCTAGCACTTGACCACTGCAACATACTGCTCAGTATTGCTGAAGATAAAATTATGTGTAAATGAAAACCTCAGATAATGCAATACTAATTCCTGTCAGAGCTCTTTGGGCTGTAACACTACCTATGATTGTGGGGAAATGACGTTTTTCATGCTCTAGAGCAACACTTTTTTCTAGAGAACTTTTTGTGATGATGGAAAAGTTCTGTATCTAAGCTGTTCTGATATGGTAGCCATTAGTCACACTGAACACTTGAAATGTATCTGGGAACTACATTTTAAATTTGATTTTAATTTTAAAAATTTAAATAGCTTCATATGGCTAGTGGTTATCATTTTGTGTCCAAGGTGGGAGAGGCAGGTTTCCCCTATTTGCTCCTTTCTAATTATCACTAAACATTTTACCCAGTTCAAATATTCTTTCCCTACCACAGCTGGAAATGAATATAATCTGTAGTGAAACAAACTTGAGGACATCCTACACAGGGCATACACAAATCAATTAACTGTATGACAGTCATAGGAATATGAAACTTCTTCATTCCCACCACTTACTAGATAAAGTTTGAACAACTAATCTGAAGACACTTCACGAATGATTTTTTCATTGTTTGCAGAAT